GCAATTTCTTGGTGATGTCATTTTTGTTTATGCTGTTGTGAAGTTTTGTAGTGCACTAAACTAGCATTTATTGTGAAAAGGACCAACTTTATGGTATTTGGTGTTAGGCATTGAAGTTCATGTAGTATTTGCTGAGATTGCTCAACCATTGCGTCACTTGACTCATCTGCATTTTTTTGAAGGTCCAATAAAATATCACTTGACTTATCTGCATTTTTTCAAAGGTCCAATAAAATAAGATCACATTTCACTGTTTAGCTTGAGGTTTCATGGAAATTTTGGGTTATTACGATTATTTGATGTTTGTTTTGTACTTTGTGCAAACTGACGTGGAAACTAGGTGGAGAGGACAAAGTTATGAGATAAGCATTGCTGATGTGTATTGTGGGCATTATCACTGTTTGTGTTTATACCAAATTCACATTTTTTATGCAAAAGCACACGACTTCGGAAAATACATTGTTATTGCCTCTAGTAATATCTCCAATTTTGTCTCTTTATTTTTTTTTAAAAAACATTCTTAATCACTTCATGAACATGTCTAGACTGGTATACAAGGCTTTATTTTGATTTGGTTTATAATTTTAATAATTTATTTCATGTAGACTGGTAGCAATTGTTAGCATATGCATGTGAATAAGTTTGATTGACCTAAACAAGCAGAGAAACATAAAACATAAAGCTCAATCTTCACACTTTTTTTTGTTTTTTTATTTTGTTTTGTATTGTTCTTTTTTTTATTATTTTTTTTTATTTTTTTTTGAAGGTTTCATTTGTGCAGAATGACAGCTTTTAAGTAGAAGCTGCTCAAGTTTTATGCCACTTTAGCTCATTGCCTAAATAAATAAAAAAAACGTAGAAGATAAATGGTCTAGCCACAAATTGAAGGTTTATAGTTAGTTCAATGGAATGAGATGGAATGATTATTTTTTGTGAATAATAATTTAGCTACACTTTATTTTTATAATTATTTTTAATCAATCAAACAGTGGAATGAATATTTTCACATTTTATTTTAGTGGACCAAACACTATTTTGATGCTCAAAATGCCTTTACTAATGTGTAATTTCACCTAAGGTCTCAATCATTTTGTTTGGTTTTGTTCATAGGATCAGGTTCTTATTTTGCCTTTACTAATGTGTAATTTCACCTAAGGTCTCAATCATTTTGTTTGGTTTTGTTCATAGGATCACGTTCTTTTTTTTATTTATTTTTTATTTTTTTTTAAGAAATAGAAATTAGATTGTCGAATGATTATTTTGGGTATTACTGTTCTAGTTGAATTTTAGAGTTGGCTATTAAACGGAAAAGGTTGAATTCCTTATATGGATTAAATTTATCCACTTTTACTTTTCAATTGGTTTTTACTAATGAAAATGGGAAATTTCATCTTCTAAACTGCTGCTGCACTACTGTGATTGATGCTTAAGAATCACTTTTTCACTATGTGATACTTATGGTATGTATAAAATTAATTAGTATTTTTTTTTTCCTTCCCCTTTTACAAAATACTTTCATATATTTGTATCTCATATAAAAAATATTACTTGACTTGGCTTTGTTCTTTCATTTTTGCAGGTGGAACTCTTTTCTAAGGATTTAGTAATTGAAGTTGTCAACCAACAATGTGTGCAGAGGTAACTTTCAAACAAGTGTTTTTCTTTTCTAATTTATTTATTTTGGGTACACATTTTTAACTAATTATTGGCTCCCTTGTTTTTATTTTTTTCATGTGTCATAAAGAGTTCTAAAAAGGCAGCAAAAGACATAGGAAAGAGCAAGAAGCTATAGTTGCTGCCACAATGGATAATAGAAGTGATGGACCCATTAGCATTTTAGATGTAGGTTCCAATACTCGACAAATTGAATCACCAAATGCAGATGGAGTAGCTGACTCTGGTCAACAACCAAAAAAGAAAACTTCTAAAAAGGCAGCAAAAAGACATAGGAAAGAGCAACAAGCTATTGGTGCTGCCACAATGGACAATAGAAGTGATGGACCCATTAGAATTTCAGATTTAGGTTCCAATACTCGACAAACTGAATCACCAAATGCAAATGGAGTAGCTGATTCTAGTCAACAACTAAAGAAGAAAATTAGGGGGCCATCAAAGTTAAAGATGCATGACAAAGGCAAACAAAAGTGTGATGAGATCGACTTCAATGAAAGGAACCAACCAATAGGACAAGAATCAGTGCACTTATCAACCTTAGAAGGGGTCTTAGCTCGGAAGATGGTGCCAATTAATATAGATTATTGGTTTGAAGTTCCAGATGAGATTAAGGATAAGTTATGGGCTTGTGTGAAGGTAGTATGTTTATGCAGTTAATTTTTATACAACAATTCATTATTTTTCCCCCTCTTGTAATACTAAATGTTTGGTTATATGAAAATGCAGCTTAAATACAAAGTACATGATATCCATAAGACACATGTGATGCAAAAGTTCGCAAAATTGTGGCGCAATTACAAGTCTGAATTATCAAGAAAAGTAAGAACTCTCGCTGCAGCAGGTAAAGGTCATTTAGCACGTAATATTGCCCTCACCAAACCTGATAAGATTGGAATGGATGAATGGAAGGCATTTGTGAAAAATCGACTTTCAAAAAGCTTCATTGTAAGTGTTTTTTCATAACAGTTTTATGTAGAAGCTCATTTCTTTTCATAACAATTAAGATAAAGATTACAAATTCTTAAAAAATGTGGGCATTTCAAATGTTTACACTCAAGAAAAGAGTGAAAAATTCAAAGAGATGAGAGCAAAGCAGAAGATGTTACACATGATGAGTAGAAAAGGCTATGCACGACTAGAGGAAGACATGGTAAGTTTGGCAATATAAACGACATTTATTTCGAAAGGATTTTGATTTTGTTGCTTCTAATTTTGTACTATGTTTTAATTTTTTTTTATTTTTAATTTCTTTTCCAGAAAAATCAAAGCCAAGACCCAGATTCCATATCTAGAGTGGATGTTTGGATCAAAGGACATACAAGGCAGAAGGGGAAACCTATCAATGAAGTGCTTCAGGAAGCAGTGGTATGAATTAGCTTAATATGTTATTAAAGCTTGTGATTTCATTCAATTCAATTGAAAGATTGCTGGCTGCTACTTTACAATTTCTTTACAATTGAAAGATTGCTGTCTGATGTGCTGTTTTGTTTGGGTTACTGTTGCTGTGCTGTTTTGTTTTGGTATGGATGTTAAACAAATTGCTAGTTTGTTTTACTGTTTTTTTTTTTTTTTTTTTTTTTTTATGTAGAGGTCTATTTTGTCTTAAACATGACCTATGAAGTTGTGCTTGTGATATTACTTCATTTTTTCACTTTGTTTGATAATTGCTTGTCTTATTGTGGTGAAGTAACTCAGAGGTGAGTTTTGTACCTATTTTTGTAGTTAGTAGAGTTGGAACGTCCTCTTCCGCTTTTTCTTCTTTGGATATAACTACAAACTATGGATTTTGGGTTTTTGGATTTGATTAGAGAAGAAATATTAGTGTTGTTTTCTTGAGACTTGAACTAAGCATTACATCAGCAACATGCCGTAATTATGCTCAATAAAAGGAATGGGGGTGATGTTTCCTTTCAGTTTATGAAATAATTCATAGGTGAGTTTTGCACTTGTTTTTGTAGTTAGCAGACTTGGGTTCCTTATCATAAATGTTATATATTGCAGAATAAGGTTCAAGAGCTTCACAAGCCTTTTACAGAAGAAGGGTCAATGTCTATCAAAGATGATGCAATTGTTCAAGCATTTGGTCCAGAACGGCGTGGTAGTATAAGAGGGCTTGGATTTGGAGCATTGCCATCGAAAGTTGATGCAGCATACCAAAATCAAAATATGAGACAACTAAATGAAAAATTGCTACTATTAGAATAAGAACTCCGGGAGATAAAAGCTGAAATGTTAAAAGGAAAAAGGCAAAATGAGGTTAAAAAAAAAAATGAACAATGTCACAATATATGAGGTTAAATTTATCTTCCTATAAAATTTAATTGTTTTTTAACTTTGGTACTTCCCATCTTAGATATAAGAATATTTCACAAAGTTTGTAAAAATAAAAAATTGATTAATACTTGCAGGAGCCAAGCAAAGGGGCAAATGGACACTCACATGGAGAAACTCAGGTAAACTTGCACATTTGTCATGGTTGTGCTTTTGCTTGCTTGCTTTTGTACTCAAGCTTGTCATTTTGCATATGGATTACATTAAGATTCTAAATTTAAGTAAACAAATGCTTCTTGCCATTGTATTATGATTTTTTTAGGGTGAGGAAAACGTTAGAGGTGAACATAGGGTGCATGACGATGGTGAATGTAGGATGCACTCACAACAAAATATTTGGGTAAATTTTATATGGCATTATTAATTAACTCATTTTCATTTTTCTCGTGCTTCTGCTTTTGTTTGCTTACTTGCTTTTCTACTCAAGAGCTTTTGTCAAACTTTCATATACATCCCACATCGTCTACAAAATTTGGAAAAACAAATATAACTTGATATTGTATTACATTTTTTTTAGGGTGACGAAAACAATGAAGATGATGAAGATATTTGGGTAAATTTTATATGGCATTAATAATAACTTTAATTTTATCTTCAATTCATTAGCTTATCTTATGTGTTGCTTTCATGGTAGTTGCATGACGCAAATGAAACTGGAAATGGTGGATCCTTGGACAATGCCAAATGCAAATTGTTGAATTGGGATGGAACAAAGGTGGTGGTTGCGGAAGGCACAATTGCATCAACAGATTCTAAAGCATTGGTACATCACGTGCCTCTTGGCCCTGGGTGTTGGAAAGTATGGGTTTACGTGTTATAACTGCCTGAATGCCTGTGGGTGAAGGTTGAGTTACTTAAATTGGAACAACGCATTGAATACGAGTTTTAAGCCCACTTGAGAGTGGCAAAATTATATTTTTTTAGCCTACTTGCGGGTAGCACCATCAAACCATTTTCAAATAAACAAACATGACATGTTTTGTTCCAATTTAAGTGATTTAGTCTATCCTTGTTTGCTGTGCGCATCACGTAGTAAATCTAGGCTAATAACCGGGG